GGGTCTCAAGGGGTCTGAGGGGGTCCTGGAGGGGTCTGGGGATACGTGGGGAGGTCCTGGGGGGCTCCAGGGGTCTGTGCCCCCCCCCAGCACCCCTGACTTTGTTTCTCTCTGCAGGGAGCAGCCCCCAGGCCCCCCCCCAAGCCCATGTGAGGAGACCCCGGCCCAGTGCGGGACCCCCCAGTGCAAAGTCAATAAAGGATCTGCCCAGAGCCGGCTCCGAGAATTTGGGGGGATTTTGGGGGGGGGGTCCGGAGGGGATCTCACCCCCCCTCATTATGGGGAGAGCTGGATTCACCCCAGATCTTGGGTGGGGGGCTGCTCCAAGCCTGGCTCCGTGTTTTGGGGGGATTGGGAATTGGGGGGGGTCAGTTTGGGGAGCTCTGATCCCATTCTCTGTTTTTGGGGGGATTTAGGAATTTGGGGGGGGCTTCCTGAGGGGCTTCCAGCCCCCTTTGTTTTGGGTGGGGGGCTCTGGGGACCCCCAGTGTGGGCCTGGGGGCTGCTGCCCACCCTGGAGGGGAGGAAATGGGGGGGCTCTGACCCCTGGGGGGGCTCGGGGTCCCCAAATTCTCCCCAGGGCCAGGAGCTGCCCCGAGCTGCGGGGCGGGGTGGGGTCAGACCCCCCCCCGGTTTTGGGGGTGTTGGGGGTCAGACCCCCCCCTTTTTGGGGGTGTTGGGGGGTCTGGGGAGGGGCTCCACCCTGGCAGCTGCATTTGGGGGGGCAGCAGTGGGGCCCGGGCTGCTCCCCGTGTTTTGGGGGGCTCGGCTCCTGTTTTTTGGGGGTCTTCCATTGTCCCCAACCCCCCCTTCGGTTTTTTTGGGGGGGTCTCCGTGGGGCCTGAGCCCCCCTCCCCGTATTTTCGGGGGGCTTCAATGGTTCCCAAATCACCCCATCCGCTTTTGGGGAGGGGTCTCCATGAGGCCCGAGCCCCTCCTCATGTTTTGGGGGGGCTCGATTCTGTTTTTTTGGGTGGGTTTCAATTGTCCCCAACCCCCTTTTCGGTTTTTGGGGAGGGTCTTCGTGGGGCCCGACCCCCTACCCATATTTTTGGGGGTTTGACTCCTCTCCCGTGTTTCGGGGGGGCTTCAGTAGTTCCCAACCCCCCCCGTCCGATTTTTGGGAGGGTCTCCATGGGGTCGGAGCTCCTCTCTCTTTTGGGGGGCTCGACCCCTTCCCCGTATTTTGGGGGGGCTTCAATATCCCAAGTCCCCCCGTCCTTTTGGGGGGATCACCGTGGGCTCCGAGCCCCTCCTCATGTTTTTGGGGAGGCTCGATCCTGTTTTTTTGGGTGGGCTTCAATTGTCCCCAACCCCCTTTCGGTTTTTGGGGAGGGTCTCCGTGGGGCCCGACCCCCTCCCCGTGTTTTTGGGGGTTTGACTCCTCCCGTATTTTGGGGGGGCTTCAATAGTTCGTTTTTTGGGGATCTCCGTGGGGCCCGAGCCCCTCTCCGTATTTTGGGGGGTTCGACCCCTTCCCCGTGTTTTGGGGGGGCTTCAATAGTTCCCAACCCCGCCCTCCCCCGTGCGTTTTTTGGGGGGGGTCTCAGTGGGGCCCGGTGTGTGACCGAGGGCTCGGAGGGGAGAACTTCGCTCCGGGACCGGAGGGGACCGAACCGGGCCGGGCTGGGGGCTCCACACGGGGCCGGTCCCGGTGCCACCGCCCCGGGCACGGCGGGCGGGTCCCGGGGCGTGGCGGGGAGGG